GCGGCGTCATTAGTTGTTTCGACACGTCGTCATCCCGTTCCCCAGAAGGTGAGCTCCGAGCGCATCTCATCCTCCACCGAACATCCCCCCTTCCCTTCTCCCCCTCCTTTTGTGTTTTTTCCCCGAGAATAGACCCATTTATAGACATCGTTCCGTAAAATGTAGAACTTTCGATCGTTCACTCCAGAGACAAGAGACCCTTCGCCAGTATCTTGGCAATGGAGATGTTGCATGTGTGTGGAATTTGCGATTTGACTACTGATTCTTTTGTAAAAGTTCGCGAGAAACATGATGGTGCCACTGGTTTTCTCTGAAATCATCTCCCAAGCTCAAAAAAAGCTCTCAAGTTGCGGCCAAAATGGAGGGGATATTCCACGATATCCTGAGAGTCCACCTTTACATCAAGACAAACTCTCCATGCGAAGATAAGGAGCAAATACATTGACAGGTCTACCACTTTTTTGGGGGACTGCACGACTGAAAACACGGCAACCCTGCTAATGTATTTGCCCCCTATCTTTGCATGGAGAGTTTGTCTTGATGTAGAGGTGGACTCTCAGGATAGCGTGGGATATCCCCACCATTTTTGCCTCAACTTGAGAGCTTTTTTTGAGCTTGGGAGTTAATTTCAGAGAAAACCAGTGGCACCATCGTGTTTCTCGCAAACTTTTACGTAAGAATCAATAGTCAAATCGCAAATTCCTCACACATGCAACATCTCCATGGCGGAAGCTTTTACTTTCAGGACTTCAACATTCAACTGTTGACGTACCTACCAGGTCGATGGTCGGGAGTTTCGCTTTAGAAACCAAAGTTTGGGAAACTTCTTTAACTCATGACGTCATCCGAAGCTCATCATCCACCTAGGAGGTAGGTCAACAGCCGAAAAAAGGGTGATGACTGTTGCCCCCTCACAATTAGCAGTAAGAAAATGTTGAATCTCCGAAAGTAAAAGCTACCACCTGTCGGCAAGAGGCCAGTAGAGGGTCTCTTGTCTCTGGTTCTGTGGCTCAAACAAAAATAATAACATGAACACATGAACACAACAACCACTCGTTTCAACCAATAAGATCCATTCATTTTCTTTTTGTCCATCAATTTCAATTCATCAGATTGCCTCTGAAGTCGAGAAGCATAGTGCATTTGGACTACATTTTGCAATTCGGAACTATAAATTCTAGCCCGGTTTAAGAACAACGTCTTTGTCCTTAGTTTCCCTATGCACATAAGTGTTTTTCCAGAAGAGCCAGAATTTATAGTTCCAAAATTGCATAATGCAGTCTATTTCATGTGCCTTCACGAAAGTGTCTGCTCATGAATATTAAAAATGGAGGTGCAGCAGGAAATATAAAATTTAGCAACGCCGACAAGGGGCTGGTAAATTTGAATAGTAGACGTCGCTCTGGAGCTCTCTTTTGGGTGAGAACCTTTAGAAAGGAAGCCTGAGCAATCATGAGTATTCACGGAATCTTTTTAAGTGAGATGGCTCTTTTTGCATAAACGCTCAAGCAATTGAACTCGCGTTCGAGTGAAAATAATCCTTGCCTATCTGGAAGTCGAGTCTAAATTAAAACTTTAACGGGGGCTTTTTGCATCGTGGACGTGATTAGAAGCATCGACGCCAGATCTCCTTCTTAATTATTGGAATTCCTCGGAAACTCAGCTTATATTACGTATCATATCAACAGCTAAAGGAGTAGCTCAATGGACCGCTGGACAGAATGTTAATTCAAGCATTATGATACGTGTGTTGCATTTTGCAAAAAGGAACCAAGAGCATTCCAATATCGCTAACATCGCACTTTTTTTTTACCTTGCAAATAAGAACTGATCATCTAAACAAGATGCACCTTTACCCCTAATGAACTATTTCAAGACGAAAATTAAATTTGTAACTTTATTGCGCATAAAATTAATTGTATTTCTAAGAGTGTAAGTTGCACAACCCTAGCAACATTCAAATCCTCTTGGTTCCTTTTTTCAAAGTACAATCCACATGTGTTTCTATCAATCTTTCACGTTGAACACGATTTATACAAAGAAAATGACCGAAACCAACTCCTAAAGGTTTTCCGATGCTGAATTTCAAACTTCTGGGTCAAAGAATAAAGAATGTCTGACATGAGTTAAATTGCTTATTAAACGTTACCATGCTGGTCAGTGGCGTGGCGTGAATTGCGATATATCGATCGATCTACCATTTAAACCTATGGAAAAGGATAGATAACAAGGTGTTCACATTGAACACCTCAGTAATCGATTCTTTACCATAGCTTCAAATAGGGAAATATCGATAATCGATCATTCTCGCCTCTGGTGCTGGTCTTTGCAGTATAAAAATATGACCATTTTCACAAAATTCAGTGTATAATTTGCAAGTTTCCATGTATCAATAGTTGACAATAGTAGAGAATCTTGCAAGGAAAGTGTCGTAAATAATTTTAATTTGTAGTTCTTTGCCGGCCAGGTTGGCCCAGTCGTCAGCTCGTCTGACTCTAGGTCGAAACTCAAATGGGTTCCTGGTTCGAATCCCGGTGTTGGCGTCTGACGAAATTAGAGAGAAGAACGGAAATTCCCTCACGGAATTTTCAGGGAATTGACGAGTAGGTCCGCTGAAACAGATCCTACTCGGCCCTAATAGGTACCTGGAAATTTGAAAAGCCTGGAGCATGGATGTGCCTTAATCCCCTAAATCCTTCGATGTCTACGGACATACGGACAATAAACAAAGTCTAGAGTTGGCTAAAGGTGCTAGACACGAAGCCATAAAGGCAGCAGGGGAAAAAGAAAAAAGAAAAACAATTCTAGTTCTTTGGTGAACACCAGGCTCACACGAGGGTCAGACCCGCTGTCCCACATCGCGTCGCGTTGACTCGGTTCGACGAAGGCGCGAGCAAGCAACTATACCAGCTTTCCGGATATCTCGGTTGCCGTCCGGCCTATTTGAAGGCGTTTATCACGTCTCATCATTTTAAGACGAGAATGACAACCTCAATCTCGCCTGGGCTCAGCTATTTCATGTTGTTTACTCTTTGAACAATTCAAGGTGAGGTAGGAATCCTTTTTGATTGAGAAGCCTTAAAGGAAATTCGCAGAAGTATTTTCAAATTCTTCCCCACTGCCAAAAAATAGCATTATTTTGTACCTCATTTAAACGCTCTATCGACTGAAACGAGAACCCGTGCATTTAAGTCCCTAAATCCTCGCATAGTTCTGAAATTCTAGATTTTATTCAAGTCAAAGAACTTTGCACTGAATTGTTTTTGCGAAAATCATTTTCATGAGAACATGCGGCCCCCCTCCCCCCTCCCAATAAAAAGGCCCAGGCAACCATTGTTTGAGAGCATCAAACTCGGGTCGCCTGGCCGGGAATCGAACCTGGGACCTCCTGATCATAGAGCTAGCGCTACAACCACTACATCATAGGAGGCCGACCCCTTTTGTAAACCCCTTTGGACATAAATTTGAATGATCAACCCACCAGCGAGCTGATTGTTGAAATTGATGGACAAAGCCATAGATACAGAAGATGTAAGGAGTGTGGAGCGATCCTATTGGTTAAAATGTGTGGTTCTTATAGACTAAGGGAGAAAAAGATGGACTAACTAATGGGTCTCTCGTGGATTACCGTTATTCAGTCTATTACCTGCTTCCGTTGTCCATTGCAACCACCTGCTTCCACCAATATGATGCCTTCATATCCTTTTTGTCTTCTTTGTCTATCGATTTCAACAATCAGCCCGCAGGGCGATGTGGGCCCTCAACGACATCCCTCTTACGCCGGAACTTTCCGCGACTCTCCGAGGCCCAATCCTAAACTACGATTATTCGCCTGGTATGGCAACTATCTGAGTAGCGCACAAAAGAGTTGAGTGACAGCCTGGCGG